TCAAACAAAATAAGGGTGGTATAAATATGGGAACATTTCTATTGTTTATATGCAACTTTTGGACTATACTTTTTTTTCTAATCTGAGATTTAAATCTTAATCATTTTTTATTTTCATCTACTTCATTGGAATTCAGTGTCCATTATAAGTTTTGGCTATGACTTGAGTTAAAGACAAGTTCAATAACTTCAAATGAGTATGTCTTCTTCGGAGGGAAATCTTGTGTGCAAGATAAAAAGCTTTTGCAACCTTAAACATAATCAAATTAAGCCAATATGTAACTTTAATTTTTTTTTTTTTAGTTGGCACCACACATCATTTGGAACTCACATATATAATTACTTGTAATGAATTTGTAGCCAATTGCAATCAATGCTGACATTTTTTACGCTTTGAGAAAATAATTATTTGACTTTGAGAAAAAAAGAGAGAAGCTAAGAATCTTTTCAAGATATCATATGACAAAAAGTCCTTTTATCATAATTTTACCTGTTCTAATGCTTGCTTTGTCCCTCACTAGCGCAAAAGGTGAAACAATTAACCTGTTCTAATGTGATCTCACTCTTTTGAGTGACAAAGAAAGAAAAGTAAAACAAAAAGAATAATAATATATATAAAGGTGTTCAGAAGACCATAAAAAATGATCAAAGGAACAACAACTGAAAGGTGATAATATCTATTCTTGAATAATTGTATCGGTCGGGATTAATCAAATACATACTTTAAGTTTGGAACCAATTAGACTTAGAATTTTGTTAAGATAACTTAGAGTTAGTGCACATTCTGTATGTTATGCACGCAAATATACAAATTTTATACACTTTTTCAGTGCGTGCTAAAAGTGATAATACCCTATTTATTTTCTTTTGCAGTTCTCCATAGGTTAGATTACTGGTCTAACCCAAAGTCTAAAGAGTTAGTCACATTTGCCCCCACCCTAAAATTCATGATTGTAGCCTGTAGGTGGTACAAGGTCAAGGAGTTGTCCATCTCCTTCATATATATTTTGTTTGATTAGCACTTCATTAATTAAAGCAGTAAAGGTGGATCCGAAAAAAATATAATTAATGACTTCTTATTTATCTAAATTAGTTACATATCATTTATTTTTTAAAAATTAATTTGTGATGAGATAACCTAATATAGAAGAGTAAAAAGGCAAAGGACGGAAAGGTTTTTGGTAAAATTTACTTTATATCTAAATAACGCAGAATATAATTATTAGACATTTTAGAGCCCTTTTTGACTAAGCTGCCAAATTTTGCTTATTTTGAAAAGTACTTTTTTTTTTAGAAGTAGCCGATGGTCTATTGGAAACAGCCTCTCTGCCCTACCGGGGCAGGGGTAAGGTCTGCGTACACATTACCCTCCCCAGACCCCACTATGTGGGATTTTACTGGGTAGTTGTTGTTACTTTTTTTTCAGAAGTACTTTTTTCAAAAGTAGTTTTGGAAAAAAATAGTTTGTGTTTGACCAATTCATTTAAGAAGTGCTTTTTGTAACATTTGGTAAATAAATTGTGTTTGGCTAATCTTTCTAAAAAGTACTTTTGAGTGTCAAATTACCAAAAAGGATAGTACCAAGGTCTTATAATTTTTTTAAAGAGAAAAATAAACTCAAATATTTATCGTAAGAGACTGTTATTATTTTTTATTTTATTTAATTAAAACATAAAACATAAAAACAAACATATCAACGACTTAAATCAATTTTACATATATAGTTATACCAAAGCATATATTATTATTACTTATTGTTACATGATGATTTGAATCATCAAAATACATCATTCAGTATTAATTAGAAGTATATTCCACAAATTACTGTATATTGATAATCTACCATGAAATGATAAGCAAAGTCACTCACACATGATAATATTTCTCAACAATTTCATCTCTACGCCTATCACACAATCCCTCCATTTAGTAGAAGACTTACCTTGTATTTCTAAAGGAATATCAGAAGGCCCATCTCCTTCATCAATCTCTACAGTAATGTCTTCATTAGCATAATAATTGAATTCCTTATCGGTAGAAGAATGTCGTCGGATGAAATTATGTATAGCCATGGTAATTGTAACTAGATAATTTTGAGTGTCAAACTTGAAAGATGACATTGAACTTAAAATAGAAATAATTTTAAATATATAAACATAATTTTTTGTAAAAAAATAGTTAAGTATGTTTAAATTCAAATTCAAAAAGAGTAACTAATATAACAACACATAATGTATAATTTATTTTTTTTAAAATTCAAATTCATAAAGAAACTAATTAGTATTACTTAACCTTACTAACTTTGTCCTAAATTGCCAAGTGGCCTATTGTAAAGCTGCCACTTGGCTTAATGTGTGATGCTTTTTCTAGATTATGCGACGAAATTGTAAATTTATTACCTATTTGTAGGTATTTTTCTACAAATTAGATTTGATAACTGTATTAAAGATTCGGGAACTAATAGCATATAAGAGAAGAAATTATAAATGATTATTTGTAGGAAGAGATTTGATAATCCAAAGAAGGATGTAGATAATCTACTTTAGTATGAAAAAAGAAGAAGTTAATTTGGAAAGTTATAAGACATTACACAAAGGACAAATCAAAAACAAGAAAAATCAATAAATAATTTGGAAAATTGCAATATGATTTATGTATATGATATCTTTAATTTTAAAAGAATGGTAAAAACTAGAAACGAAAATGAAAAGAAAAAACTTAAATTAGTAAGGGATAATTTGGAAAGTATAAATTTATGGTGAGGATAGTTTTGTCTTGAATAAATTAATTTTCACTTCTGCTTCTGCTTATTGGAAGAAGCTAGAATTTTCTGCTTCTTCCCAAAAGCAGAAAAACTGCTTCTGCTGCTAGCCAAAAGTACTTTTCAGTATTGGCCAAATAGCTTAAATTTTTTTAAAAGTACTTTTTTGAAAGAAAAAAGTACTTTTTAAAAAATTTGAGTTGTTTGGCCAATACAGAAAAGTACTTTTTGCCAGACGCAGAAGCAGTTTTTCTGTTTTTGGGAAAAAGCAGAAAATTCTAGCTTCTTCCAAGAAGCAGAAGCAGAAGTAGAAAATTAATTTATTCAAGACAAAACTATCCTCACCATAAATTTATATTTTTCAAATTATCCCTTACTACTTTAATTTTTTTCTTTTTATTTTTGTTTCTAGTTTTTACCATCCTATTAAAATTAAAGATATCTAACTTTTCAGAATTTTTATTGACTTTTCTTGTTTTTGATCTTTTCTTTGGGTAATGTCTCGTAACTTTCCAAATTATCTTCTTCTTTTTTCACACTAAAGCAAATTATCTGTATCTTCTTTGGATTATCAATTCTCTTCCTACAAATAGTTATTTATAATTTCTTCTATTATATGCTATTAGTTCCCAAATCTTTAAAACAGTTATCAAATCTGATTTGTGAAAATGACCTATAATTAGGTAATAAATTTACATTGCATTGCATAATCTATGTATATATTATTAAAAGAAGAAGAAAATGCATCCATATTTAATCAAATGGCAGCCTCACAATAGGCCACTTGGCATTTTAGGACAAAGTTGGTAAGGTTAGGTAATAATTAGTTTCTTTTTGAATTTAATTTTTTTTAAAAATAAATTATACATTATGTGTTGTTAATAATTAGTTACTCTTTTTGAATTAGAATTTAAACATACTTGACTATTTCTTTTACGCTTTTTTTTTTATATATATTTAAAATTATGTTTATTTTACGCTCAATGCCATCTTTCAAGTTTGATACTCAAAATATCTAGTTACAACTACATGACTATACATAATTTAATCCGACAACATTCTTCTACCGATAAAGAATTCAACTATTATGCTAATGAAGACATTACTGAAGAGATTGATGAAGGAGATCAACCTTCTGATATTCCTTTAGAAATGCGAGGCAAGTCTTCTACTAATATGGAAGCATTGTGTGATAGAAGTAGAGATGAAATTGTTGAGAAGTATAATCATGTGTGAGTGACTTTACTTATTATTGCATAATGGATTATCAATATGTAGTAATTTGTGGATAGACTTCTAAGTTATACTGAATGATGTTATTTTAATTATTCAAATCATCATATAAAAATAAGTAATTATACTAGATAATATTATAATATGTAAAATTGATTTAATCTTTAATATGTTTGTTTACTTTATGTTTTATATTTTAATTAAATAAAAAAAAGTCTCTTACGATAAATATTTAAGTTTATTTTTATATTCAAAAGAATTATACGACCTTGGTACTATCCTTTTTGGTAATTTGATACTCAAAAGCACTTTTTGAATTGATTGGCCAAACACAAATTATTTACCAAATGTTGCAAAAAGTACTTCTTAAATGAATTGGCCAAATACAAATAGTGTTTTTTCAAAAGTAATTTTAAAAAATGTACGTCTGAAAAAAAAAGTACTTTTCAAAATAAGCAGATTTTGACAGCTCGGCTAAACAGGCTCTTGCAGGGCTACTAATAATGGAAGAATGATTCTAGGGAGCAAAAATACGGAAGATAGGCTAAGGTTGGAGTGGAGAATAGTATACAAATATATCATTAAAGCATTGGATCGAACATCAAAGGAGAATTAAGGATATAAACACTACCAAGGGTTGTGATATAAAACTCCAAATGACTAAAAGAGGTTTTCAAAATAAGCAAATTCTAAAAATTTGGTGAAATATGCAAAAATAATCAGTCGGTAATGTTGGATAACATTAAAATAATAAAGTAATTTGGTGGTAATTCTATTTCAATCTTCTCTTGTAGGAGTTAACCAGTAAAGTTGCATGCTGACTGCTCTGATTAGGGATTAGTCTTTCCATTTTAAAAAGTTGGAGGGTGTGACTAAAAATCGAAAAAGCGAACAGTGCCAACAATAAAATAAAATAAAATAAATGATGACATGTCAGCTTAATAATAATATCGCTGCTCCTCTCATTTGGTCTTTCTTTTCTAAAATAAAAATAAAAAATAACACAAAAGCTCCCCCATCTTTCAACAATATCGTAATTTCCCAGATCATCTTTTTGTTTTTACCATTTCTCTTCTCTTTCATCTTTCTCCCTCTATACAATACATTATATAAACATTTCTATGGTGGACTTACAATCAGCGTGTTATTTGATTCTTACACTCTTCAGCCATAAGCAACAACCTTCACTGGTACGTTTCCCTTTTTGACCTAGCAATCATTTGCTACTTCTGCACTCTACTGTTTCACTTTCCAGTTCAATTTATTCAATCTCGTTATAGAATTATGTTTAATTCTTCTTTTGCGTGCATATATTTTCATTGTAGTGGTAAAATTTGGAACTTTTTTATAACTTGTCTGACCTGTGTAATCTGATCAGGTGATTGTCGTATTTATCAAACGTGGCATTGGCCATCTATGGCTTTAATGAAATTTGATGTGAAATTAGGTTTAGAGTTTAGTAGATGGAGTTACTTGGGAGGAATTTGTATGATTTTGGTGGGGAAAAATGGTGTGTTCTGCATTTAGGTGGGTTTTAATTAGGGTAATTTCATTGTTGTATGATGTGTTAAGAGTCTTAGGTTGGGGGTAGTGGGGTTTGAAGGATGACTGATTTTCAGCAACAACTGCAACAGAAGCCCGAGAGCACAGGGGATGATGCCAGCTCTGAATTTGAGAGGGGATGGGAGGAGTTAATAATGCGCGGGCACTTGGACGAGTGTATGTCGTTTGCTTCTTGTAGTTCAGCACGCAACACTGAAGACGAGGACGATGAGAGCAATGATCGTCTTGTGAGGAGGAGAAGGAGGAGTTCGGGAATTGAAGGTGGTGATGACCTGGCTGAGTCTTCTGCTGCTAGGAGGAGGCATTCACGGATTTTGAGTAGGTGGGCTGCTAGACAGGCAGAAGATATGATCACTACTATTGAGAGGAGGAATCGTGAGTCTGAGTTGATGGCACTTTCTGGTTTGCATACTGTGTCGACGCTTGATTCTTCGTTCTTGAGAGAATCACGATCTCCTAGTTCAAGGCATCAGGGTGATGCTGAGAGGAGCAGTAGAGCTTCGACCATCTTGCAAATGTGGCGGGAGTTGGAGGATGAGCATATACTGAATCGTGCCCGAGATAGGGTGAGGGAAAGACTGACACAACAGAGGAGTGTGGATTCTAGTACCAATATTTCTAGTACTAGTATTTCAGAAAGCCGGGAGAGTGAGAACCATGGTAGTTTGGTGGATGCTAATGAGAGTGAGAATGAATATGGTACTTGGTCTCCTGATGTGATTGGACCACAGATTGAGAACAGTGAGCATGGGAACTCCAGCCGTGAACAGTCTCCTGATCTAGGGGAAGTTGAGAGGGAGAGGGTGAGGCAAATCGTTCGTGGATGGATGGAGAGTGGGGTCAGTGACCATTCATCTAATGTCTCCCAGAGGAACGGTGGCCCAAGAGGCGAATGGCTGGGGGAGACAGAGCGTGAAAGGGTAAGAATCGTGAGGGAGTGGGTCCAAATGACTAGTCAACAAAGAGGAGCTCGTGGTGGCAGAAGGGAAGAACAGTCCAGTGGGCTTAGTGCTCAAGTTGATCGTGTTCGTGATGGGTCCGCTGTAGACCATGAGGAAGGCCAGCCAGAGCACGTAAGAAGGGACATGCTGAGGCTGCGTGGAAGGCAAGCTTTACTTGATTTGCTTGTGAGGATTGAAAGGGAAAGACAGGGGGAGCTTCAGAGTCTTTTAGAGCATCGTGCAGTTTCTGATTTTGCCCATCGCAGTAGGATTCAGGTTAGTTTCTAATCTTTATCCCTTTTATTCTCCATCCAGTTTTCATCTTCTATTTTACTTGGGGAATCCTCAACAGAAATCATGATTTAATTGTTCATGTGCGCATTATGTTGTTTGTCCTTTGTTAATTGTGAAGTTGAGAATTGAAATTACAGAGATATGCACTGTCTTGAACCGTGCTTCGTTTTACTTTATTCCTATTAGAGGTAGATACAACTAGCCTGTTTGAGTGTTGCCGGCTGTACATGGAGGTGTCTTTGAACTTTCAGCTAAATTTTTCTAGATTTGTTGCTTACTTTCTTCCCTCCCCAGACCCCATGCGTGGGATTATACTGGGTTTGTTGTTGTTGTTGTAGCTTACTTCATAGGTATCTCATTTTATACCCTTTTACAGTCACTACTCAGAGGAAGGTTCTTGAGAAATGAAGTGCCTGCTGAGGAAGAGAGACCACCTTCAATGGCAGCAAATGAACTAGTTCAGCTTAGGCAACGCCACACTGTCTCTGGACTCAGGTACATGGCCTGGTTTAGTTGTGTTTTGCTGCAGGATTTGTCTCAATAATTGAAATTTATTACTTGTTGAAGCTTGTCCTATGTAATAAGTTATCAAATATCTTTTCCCGTGCTGTATACTCTTTCAGTTTTGTTGTAGGGCAGTAACATCTGGTCCAATTCCCTTCTGCAGCTGTCAGAATGATTCACGTGTTTTTAAAATGATGGATAGTACCCTCAAGTATGATCATATAATAGTAACTTGTTAAGGTTCTAGCATTACCAACTACTCCCTCCGTTCCAGTTTATGTAAACCTATTTCCTTTTTAGTCCATCCAAAAAGAACGACCCCTTTCTAAATTTGGAAACAATTTAGCTTAAACTTACAATTCTACCCTTAATGAGAAGCTTTTACAACCACACAAATATTCTGGGCCCTTTTTTGACTTGTTTATGACCACAAATTCCAAAAGTCTTCATTTTTTCTTAAACTCCGTGCCCACTCAAACAGGTTCACATAAATTGGAACGGAGGGAGTAGGTTTTTGTGCTGTCATCCAGTTTGTCGATAGCCACGGCTAAGAGTCCGTTTGGCCGAGCTGCCAAAAACTGCTTATTTTGAGAAGTATTTTGTTCAAAAGTGCTTTTCGAGAAAGTACTTTTTGAGAGTAGCAGTTCGCGTCTGGCCTATTTATTTAAGAAGTGCTTTTTGCAATAATAAGCAAATTGTGTTGGGTGAATCCTTTCAACAAGTACTTTTTGAGTATCAAATTACAAAAGAGGACAGTATCAATTTTAATTTTACTATTAGTATAAATTAAAAGAGAACTTTTTAAACATTTATTGTAAAAGAATTCAATTAATTTTTTGTTTATTTAAATAAATATAAAAAATACTATCTTTAGGTAGTATTGCATTTTTTCAATTATAATATATGCATGCATGCCAAAAAGAAATAGAAATAAAATTAAAAACTACAGATAATACAATATTGGTATACTACAAAAGAAAAAAAAATCATATCTTGTGAAGCGAGTGTTTGAATCTAGTGATTAGCCTTGTAAATTATTTCAAAGAGGAATTGGAGACGAAGAAAAGAAGAAACAACAAGATAAAAAAAAAAGATTTATTTATAGTAGAAAGACTATTCCAAAGAGGATAGGAGAAGGAGAATAAAAATACGCCGAAATAAAAAAAGAAAAGAAAGGGATGGTAGAAAAAAAAAAGGAAAAGAAAAAGGTTACATTAATGAGGGATAATATAGAAAATATAAATTCTTGTTAAGGATATTTTTGTCTTGAAAAAAATTAATTTTCTGCTTCTGCTTTTTTAAAAAAGCTAGAATTTGCAGCTTCTTTCTAAAAGCAGAAAACTACTTCTGCTGCTGCTCAAAAACACTAATCCGTTTCGGCTAAACACCTCATGTGGTGTATTTGGGGACACATTAGGTGATCTTACTATTCTCATCTGAATTCAACTTGGGTTATGTGGCTATTAAATTTTATTGCTTGACTAATGTCATTGAACTATTGTGTCTAAGATCACTTAGAACTCAAAGATACAGCAGTACAAGCTTATAGATGTGTTCAATTAAGGTCGTTATTTGTGTCTAAGGATTACTTTGGTTGTTTTCCCCTATAAGCTGCTTGTGAATTGGTCTCTCTGCACATTTCAGTTCTTTTCTCCTTTTCTGTTGGCAGTATACTTTCGTGAGTTCTCTCTCTTCTGTCTATAATTGACACCTTTAAGTACAAATTGTGCATGTGAGGCTATAGTGTAATTGTTCAGTTCAGTATCTGTTTTGTGTATCTATCTTAGTGGACAAATCTTTACCCCCCCTCCGCCCCCCACAACACACACACACACAACAAACAGAAAGGAAAAAATGCAACCATGCTTTATAATGTTGGATTTTCTGAAAAGTGAAGATTTATGAAGGAACCCCCTTTTATATTATATTCTTCTTTTCGAGAATCATAAGGTTATATACATGAAGCACAAAGATTGTGCCAAAATTATACACTATTCAGTTCTCTTACAATTACTGTAGGAAGCTGAAAAAATCTATCATCCTATCAATCTTCTAGCCTACACCAAAAACCCAAAAAGGGAATACATCTGTATTACAGAATATAAATGTTGTCATATTTGTTTTCAAGAAACATCTTTAGTTCCTCTACCTCCAAATCACCCACCAGACACAAGCAGGAATGGTCTCCTATATCTTCCGCTTCCCCTTCCCAATGTCCTTGCAACTCCAGCATTATAGCAGTTACTCAATAGTTCTCGGGATAACCTAGCTGACCCGGAAAAGATTGAAGAACTGATTCCAGATCTAAGTAGCAAAGATACAGTGCAAAAACTAGTGATTAATTTCCTATTCGCTCTTTTCATACAGCAGGCATCTGCCACATAGAGTCATCCCTCTACTTTGTAAATTCTGTTGAGTTAGCACTCCCTCATTCACCAAGGTCTAGCAAATAACAAGACACTGTGTATGGAGCCCTGGTCCTCCAAATCTGTTTCCATGGCCATGAGAGATGAGACTGCCCCAAGCTTGAAGAAGATTACAGAATGAACATACCATTGTTCTGTGGAATCCATAATAGCTTATCTGTGTCCTCTTCCTGAACTGTAAAGCTACCAAGTAGCTGAATAAGGTGAGAAACCTTTCCCAATTCCCAGTCATTGTAATTTTCTCCTAAAGTGGAAATCCGAACCAGTATTAGGTCTACATTGTACCACAGTTTGTTGATTGTCCACCACCATGCTGTATAATTCTGGAAAATTGTCCTTTAAAAAGTGAATGCCCTAACCATGCATCATCCCAAAAGAGAGTTTTACTAACATTTCTCACCAAGGTATTGCACCTGAAGTCATCCACCAGACTTCTAATGTACTTCCATACACTTACTCCATAAGTCGACTTGTTTGTTTTAGTACACCAATTATTGTTCATCCCATACTTCTTGGTTACCACCATCTTCCAGAGAGTACCTTCTTTAAGAATAAATCTCCAGAACCACTTGAATAGGAGACCTTTTTGTTATGATATCTGAGATTTCTAACCCCCATCCCTCGCTGTACTTTACTCAACCTTACATTATATTAATTTACCAGATGAAAGGCCCTCTTCTCCTTGTTACCCTCCACAAGATCTCACTTCGTATGCTGTCAAGTCTCTTTTCCACCTTGGCTGGTAGTGGAAAAAGAGATAGTGTACGTCGGGAGTGAGTCCAAAACACTGTTAATAAGCACCAACCTGCATCCCTAGGAAAGACATTGATGTTTCCCATCAGATAACCTCTTTTCGCATTTCTCCAAAATGTTCTCCCATATCATGGATGCTCTGAATTTGGCTCCCAAAGGAAGTCCAAGGTACACTGCAGGTAGGGTCCAAGTATTGCACCCAAGAGTATCTGCCAAATGTTGCAAGTTCTGAATTTCGTTTACTGGAAACTGATGAGTTTTTGAAAGATTAATGTGCAGGCTAGGCATCCCTACAAAACTAATAGAATCATCCTGAGGAATCTTAATTGAGTAAGCACTAAATATATTTCTCAATGTATTGTATTTCCTGAGGATGATTCGTGATGAAATCGGTTAAGAAATAGGATTTATTTCTCAATGTATTGTGCTCTTCCTTTTTTATTTTTTATTTATATGTTGTAGTACTGTATAAGCTATCAAAGAGATTATTGCGGTCTTTCACTCATTAAGAACTCAGGCGGATTGATCTCAAATTAGGCACATTAACTGTGGCTAAAAGGGAGTTGAGGTAATTGAAATTTGAATGCGGACCTTTTGGAAAATAAAATGAACTAATTTGATAGTAATGTTTTATAGATCTTAGTTTGCATGTCACGATGTATTTATTCTTTCTTATATGATGCTTGTAACATTGTTTAGTAATTATTTAATTATGCATATCTTAAAAAGGCTCGCTTAGTGGGAATTCTCCTTTTTGGAATATCTAGAAGCACTTGACAAAGAATCCACATTTTCTTTTCTGCTTTATTATGGAGCTTTAATCCTTGAAAGATTTTCTGCTTTGTGTTTCGTGCTTCATCTTATTTCTTGCATGAGATGGCTACCTAAGTGATTTTACATTTCCCAGACATACTTTGCCCTGATTCTCAGCTTTCTGTACTCTTCTGAAAGAATCTGCTTTTATAGCTATTTTTGCAAAATGATCACTTTTATTGTGTTAATGCATGACTTCTTGTTCTTTTATCTCAACCAGGGAAGGATTTCGCTCCAGATTAGAAAACATTGTACGTGGTCAAGTAAGCAGCAATTCTGAATCTTCATCTAACAGTGGCAACGGTGGTTTGAGAAATAACCAGACTAGTACAAATCCTTCACAGGAGGTAGAAAACGAAAATCTTGAGCAGCTGCAGTCTAGGGAACAGGAGCGGAGTACTCATCAGTTGCCTGATCACAGAGAGAATGTTGATTCCAGTACAGCTGGTCAGGCTACAAATCAGCTAGCATCTCCTAACCAAGGAAGGGGTCGAGTGGAACCTGTTGTTGAAGCTGAGGGAGGAAATCACCGCGATGCAACTTCTAATGAACGGACTCGTGGAATTATGGAGAACACAAGTGGGAATTGGCCACAAAATCAACCAATTGCTTGGCCCCCTGAAACCACAGGTGAAGTGAACAGAGATGAACGTCGTTTACCAGAAAATCATGAGGTTTGGCATGAGGTTGGGTCACGAGAAGCTGTGGAGAATTGGTCAGAAGGGCCTTCTGATCCTCCTAGAATGCGACGTTCTGTCCCTTATAGGAGAGTTAGTAGATTCCATCCGCCCGATGATGATAATGTGTATAGTATGGAACTCAGGGAGCTTCTTAGCAGGTAAAATGCATGTGTCATTCTGTTTTCCCATCTGTGCTTATGAGGTCTTCTTTTTCTTTATTTGTTGAGATTCTTTGTCTGTTAGGAGGAGTGTTTCCAATCTTCTTCGCAGTGGCTTCCGTGAAAGTTTAGATCATTTAATTCAGTCATATGTAGAAAGGCAAGGCCGCACTCCAATTGACTGGGATATGCATAGGAACTTGCCTATTCCAAGTTCACCAGAAAGAGATCAGGACCAACAGAATGATGAGAGAAATGTTGCTCAACCGGAAGGAATTAGCAGGCCTTCACTTGTGCGACCATCTCCTCCTGTACCTCCTCCACAACCACTTTGGCATCAGGATGTGCACCAGTCCGGTTGGCCACGTCACACTGTGCATCGTTCTGAACTTGTAAGCTTACCATCCCTTCCTAGAAGCTATTGTTAGATGTCCTGATAATTTTTCCAGTTGATAGTGATACCTTAAGGCTATGCTTCCCTTCCTACCATCGTTTCACAACTTAGAATCTTGCACTCCTTACATGCTGGTAAGAAAAGCATCTAATTTAGTATGTCTCCAATATGAACAGGATAATATTCTGTTCATTCCAGTATCTATAATAGTTTCATCTTATCAAATTGTCCCACGGTCTTTATATGTTCCATGAAAGAATGATTTCAGTATATTTATGCTGCTTATCGGGAATTGAGCGTATTCTGTTCTGGAGCAGGAGTGGGAGGCGATGAATGATCTTAAAGCAGACATGGGAAGACTGCAGCAAGGTATGAATCACATGCAAAAGATGTTGGAGGCCTGCATGGATATGCAACTGGAGTTGCAACGTTCTGTCAGACAGGAAGTTTCAGCTGCTTTGAATAGATCAGCTGGCGGACAAGGTCTGTCTCTCATCTACGGCATACGATAAAACATTGAAGCTCTTATGATTGTCGTACCTCCTCTAACCCATTTATCTGTTTCTTTTCAACATCAGTTAATTTCTTCTGATTGGGTTTTCCCTGCAAATTTATCACAGGGATTGCTGAGACTTCAGCAGATGGATCTAAATGGGGCCACGTGAAAAAGGGTACTTGCTGTATTTGTTGTGATAATCACATTGATGCCTTGTTGTACAGGTAAAATTTTTCTTACGTAGTTTCATGTACCTTGCAGCAACTACTTTAAAAAGTACAAGGAATGAGTCTTATTGAGTGATATAACAATGTTGTGTTCATGATCTTTTGATAGTTAATGCTTTCTTTGTATCTTGACAGATGTGGGCACATGTGCACTTGCTCCACATGTGCAAATGAATTGGTCCGAGGTGGAGGGAAGTGTCCATTGTGCCGGGCACCCATTGTTGAGGTGATCCGAGCTTACTCGATACTCTAAAAAGAAAGGACAGGAAGCTCAAGAAAAACTGAGAAAAATTGTTAAGTTATAGAGGAGTTGTATGCTCCCTCTTGCCGAGCTTCTTAGATTCCTTACTTGTAGAGTGCTTACTTGCCTCTGTTCTTCTGATTATGTGGTTACGCGCGCTGTATAGTTGGGATAACTACCGGCACTTCTATTGCATCATTCATTCGTAAATCGAATGTTTATTCTTTTCCAATTTATGACTTATTCTGATTCTTTTCTTTTGTTTTTTTCCTTTTCCTTTTTGTATTAAGCAAGAAGCTCCGATTTCTTTTTCCTTTTGTATTCTAGTTATATTATATTTTTGGCTTGAAACTAGGTGAATAGAGAGTAAATAATAAAGTATTGGTTTATAGGGCAGTGGTTCTCGCCGGTGCTGCTGTTTACAGGGAAAAAGAAGGAAACGGCATTGGGACTATTTATAAGTTCGAATATCATCTCTAAAACTTTGATTTGCAGTTTTATTTGAAATAACGGTGATCTTTTACGATTAATTTTGGCCAATTGTCATCAGATAACTAAGTGTCGACATGATAAAAATTGATCAATCTACGTATGAATAAATTCAATTTTCAACCTCCCAATCGACATTAGCCTAGTCGTACATAAATTGATCATTGGTCATTATGACGACTACATTTTTTTGTTGAATACCTACCATAGACGTTGAGTAAAGTTTTGCATTGTCCTGTTTTGGAAGTCCAAGTAATAACATCAGGAATGAGAAGTGCACAAATTCGTGTTTGAGGAAATATATTTAAAACTGAATAATGTCATGGTTGATTGGTTGTTTTATAGTTCTCTGTCATGATCGTTGGTCAACATCACGAGTATAATTTTTTTGGTTCAATACCTATCATTAATTATGAGTAAGTTTCATAAAGTTTCGGTTTAGAAGCCAAAGTATTAAGTAATAGCTATTTCGTGTTTAAGGAAATGTTCTTAAAACTGAGCAGTGTTAATGATTGTTTTTCAGTGCCACCTTGACTTCAACGGAAAGGAGAGACAGAAAGATTTATTTTGGTCTAAAATAAAGGATTTTAGAAAGACTCGAAGTGGTGCGTAATGACGTTTGATTGGACTAAGTTGACGGTAAATCTTTGCCCCACAAAATGTTTACACCAAATCATATCAAGTATGGTTGAGTGATTCACTGGTGTGGAAATACATGGAATTAACCATGATTAAGTGAGAAAAGTGTATGTGGCAATACATGTGTTATGAATCTACTAGTTTTAATATAAATAGCCGGTGCGAATAAGTTATCACCCTAAGTTGATAAACTACTCTTTGTAAGTAAAATGAGTAGATAATATTGACTAAGAACAAGAAGGAAAGAATGAACAACTTATCAAAAATTCTGTGTCGTGGCAAGCCACTGCCTTGAAAGCGATTTCGGCCCGACTAGGTGCAGATCGTTAAGACCGGTTGCTCCCCAAGATTCCACAGCACCTCCAAACACGTGCACTCGTGGCTTGAAGTTTAGAATTTGCACAAAACAGTTGCCCAGAAAGAAGAGAAGAAGGTTTTTTCGGTAGTTGTTACAGAAATTAAAATGTTGTAGGAAGAAAGTAATGATTATCAAAATGAATTCTTGGTTAAGAATTGAGTGAATATGATGGCCAATGATCATCTTATTTATAGGCAATGAGGGAGGTTGCATGTATGACAAGTGTGGAGAGACTTTTAACACTTGTCCAAATATATAGTCCACTTGTCTTCAATATTAACAAGTGTACCTAATCTTCCATGCATGAAGACACATGGTAGATTTGCATAGCCACTTGCCAAAGTCATTCAACACTTGGCTTTAAGGCTTCATGCAAGAAACCATTTTGAAATAGATAGAACACTTGAAAAATAAAAATCCACGGCTATTGATTGTAAATAAATTTTCAAAAAGAAATTTTTGTCTTTGCATTATAAATAATACCCAACACTCTTTGATGCAGAGGTTGATAATCTTTTCAATTCCATTCCAATTAAGTTTTTCTTCTACTTTTAATTGTCATGTTTCGTGCTTTTTGTTACTTGTTGGAGGCACTCGAAAAAAATTGTGACATTCTTTTCATGTGTTTGCCAAAAAATGCCACATAAATTCTATTTATTTATGATTTGGCTACTCTCGTGGAGCCATATAGGCCAGAAAAGCAAAGAGACAAAGATTCTAGCTTTCAAATATGGAAAATAGAGTCATTTATGCAAAATATCTATTGATCTTAAAATAATTAATTTTTTTACCCATTTGGAAATTATTTACAATATATACCTTCCGGTTTAAAACTAATTATCTAACTTACCTATCCACCCATCCCAACTTTTTTTATCCATTTGACTTAGTTTAGCTTAATTTGGCTTGACTTATTTTGGTTCGGCTTGGCTTGAATTGACTTGGTTTAGCTTGGCAATTTAGTAGCTAAGTCATTTGGCTAGGTTAAAGAAAATGGATAGGGGTAGGGGTGGGTAATTATTTTTCATGAGATGGGTATTTGCTAAACTTTAGTATTTCTTCTACTTCAAACTTTTCTATGTGACTTGATTAAAGTTCATGCCCTCTACTTCTTGGGGACAAGTTCTTTTTCTTTTTTATTTTACTTTTTTTGGATGCATCAAGTGGTTTAAATAAAATACTGAGATTTAACTTCAACTTGTTTGGAGCTATTTATTGTTGTTGGATCATCAAGTGGCCGTGCACGATTACTAAAGAGTAATCTACACAATACGCACACTAGAAATGCTAGTTAACTTCACATACCTTTGAAATATTTATTTTACCTTGTATACCTACTTTATAAAAGTTTATTATTTTAAAACTTTTAATATCATTATATGCCATTAAATAAATCTCACCTTTTAAGAAACTAAATTATCTCTCACTCCAACTTATTCCCTTAAAACACTCCATCATCCCACGTTTTAAGGATTGAAATTATACATGTTCACCAAAAAGTTCAAACCCCAGTAATTTCTCTATGAAGTCCTCATATCTTGTTCTTCTCTTTCATCTATTTAATAAAATGAAAAAAAAAAGAAGTGAAAATGTTCTAATTAGGAATATAATATCTAAACTAAATAAAGTATTAGAATATGCTATTCAAACCAATAAACCACAATATCCCAACGAAAAATACAATATTCAAATTAAACAACTATAATATTCTAATTTGGCATACAATATTCAAATCGAACATAACACAATATTCTAATTTGGAATACAATATTCAAATCAAACGTACGATAATATTCTAATTTTGAATATTGTATCCAAATCAAACATACCACAATATTCTCATTTGGAATGCAATATTCAAATCAGATTTTTCAAATTAAAATATTTTAAATTACAAATTAAATTATTATGGTATATTTAGTTTGAATAATATATTCTAAATTAGAATATTGTGATATGCTTGGTTTAGATATTATAATTGTTATTAGAATATTGTGATATATTCGATTTAAATTGTATTCTAAATAAAAATATTATGGTATGTTCAAAATATATAGGAAGATTTGAAGGCATAGAGTATACAATATCATAAAAGAAGTCTGAAGAAAAATAGGAATATTGTTTAATTAGGAGAGATGTGAATCTCAAAATTGCTGAGTACACGTTTCAACAATTAAGCCTACATTTAAGGGATATTATCCTCTTACTAATAGTGGTTGATTCTCTATCAAGATATGCCATGTAATTTCTTTATGGATATACAATGTAACTTTCATAATTAAGGCATAGTGAGTAAAGAGATTTATAGAGGGGTATACGGTGTTAAAAATCCATTACTAAACTTTATTCACCTTGAGGCAAATTTTTACTTCTTCTTTTTAGGCTGTGCCATTTTTTTCTTTTCTTTAAGATTAATTAGAAATAGGAGATCTAAGTAACTTCGACCAAAAATAAAATAGAGTTAAAGTTACTAAATTGTCAATATTAGGAGATCTCATTTTTCATGAGATGAGTATTTTAAACTCAATGAGTAATCATAAATTACTCCTTAGAAAACAGGAACAGGCAGCTAAAGGCCCAAGCGGTGTGAAGCACAAGGGCTTTAGGCTAAGGGTGTTAAACGGGTGGATCGGGTCTGGCTGGGTTGGCTTTTTTTGGACCCGTACGGGTTATGGTCCGGGCCGGTTACGGGTTGGGGCTTAACGGGTTTAACGGGTTCGGGTTCATCCGGGTAAAAATTGAACCGTAAGGGGTTACGGGTTGAGGGGGCCAGGCCGGGCCGGGTTTAGTGTATTTTATTATTATTTTTTTTGTATTTTGTATAACTATTGTAAGTTATATTAATACTTTGTATTAATATAAAGAGTACAAGGAAGATGGAAAAAAATTGCACTTATAAATTGCAAGTGCTGCATTTTTCTCAAAATTACAAAATTAAAGTTTGCATTTAAAAAGTAAATTAATATCTTATGTATTTTTATTGTGTACTAAAATATATTTAATGCCTATCTTATGTATTTTTACATTGTATCAAGTTGTTTATTTGTTGTATATTTATGATTTGAGCATTTATACCCTAAATATATACACTATATTTTTTATAACCTAGGATCCGGCATTTTACCTTATATAATACTCCTATATGATTTAAATTATATTTCTTTCATTTTAAATACGTATAAAATATATACGCAGGGTATAATCAAGACTTATAAAATATATACTCAAAGCAATTTCCACTGTAAAATATACAAAAAAGTGACAAAAGTATTCCACTATTATTACATGTATCATACTTGCAAATTATGTGTATGATATATATGTTAAATTCCAACAATTTTAAATTATGTTAATTAGTATACAATAATTGGTATATTCATGGTATGTGTAAGATATAAAATATTTATACTAGAATATACCACTATTATGTTTTTAAAAATTAGACAGGTATGTAAAGCTCCCAAAAAAAAAAAAAAAAAATTTACCCATTAAACCGGTCTGGGCCGGTCCGGGCCGGGCCGGTTAACCGGTTTAACGGCACTGTTCATCTAACGGGTTGTACCGGTCCGGGTAGCCGGTATTTAAAAAGTAAACGGAGCAACTCGCGCGGCCCCCCTAACCCAGCCCAGCCCAGCCCCCTTTAACCGGACCGGGCCGGTTCCGATTTTAACCGGTCTGGGTAGGTCCGGAACCGGGCTGACCCGGCCCGTTTAACACCTATACTTTAGGCCCCCTAAGTTTGAAGGCCCCATCTTTTTAGTAATTTAGGTTTGTGTAATTTTTTAAAAAAAAATATTGGGAGGTGAGAGGAGGGGTAGAGGTAGGCCAAATAAGTCTTGGGGAGAGGTGATCAGGCGGGACATGGCGCAGCCTGAGCTAACTGAGGACATGACCCTAGATAGAAGGGTGTGGAGGTTGAAGATTATGGTAGAAGGTTAGTAGGTAGTCGAGCGTTACCCTTTGTCTTCTCTATTTCGGTAGTATTAGTGCTAGTACGGTAACCTTTTTTCTTTAGTTTGCTATATTCGCATGTCTCGTTCCGTTATTACTTGCCATCAGTAATTCCGTAGTTTGCTAGCAGTATTTCGTTCATATTCTCGTTTGCTACCTTGGATTTAGTTTTCTAAATATGTTATCTTGCTATTACTTGTTATCGGTACCCCTTCCATATTCTCTGTTGCTATCTTCGATTTATGTTTCCTAACTATTTGTCTTTTTATTACTTGCTATCAGGGCTTCTTTCACCTTCTTTAGCCGGAAACAACCTCCCTTCCAGGGTAGCGATAAGGCTGCGTGCATCCTATCCTCCCCAGACCCCGCTTGTGAGATTATACTGGGTTATTGTTATCGTGTACAATATTTTTACGAAAAAGGAAAAGAACTTTACTTTATTACCGATGTTATCCATTAGCATATTTAGGGGATATAAATCCTTTTTCACTTCGGAAGTATGGAACGTTATTTGGGAAAAGAGAACCTTTTTGGGATTGATTTTTTTTTTTTTTTTTTTTTTTGATATTTATATTCTTACAACTATAACTACATCCTCATATTATTTTATCTTCTTTACCTTCTTCATCAAGTACTCCCTTCTGTCAAAAGCACATACAAGATTTTTGTCATTCTTTCTTGTGGAACAAAATCCGAAGGTGGTAAGGTAAGGTCGGATTTTTTTTTTAATTTTCTGTACATACACGAAAAAAAGAAATTTGTGTTGTTTTTGTTTTTCTTCAAGTTTTTAAGCATAGAAGTAGCAAAAAGTTATTTTGGTATCAACTTATCAATTGAATTAGTCAATTAGATTTTACTGTCAAACCTTTTACTATTTTTTGTTTAAAATTCGTTATTTTTGTTGTTTTGACAATGTCTCAAGAAAGATTTAATAGATTAGCTATTTTATCAATTGAAAATGAATTGTTAGAAGAAATAGATTATAAAAACATTATTGATAACTTTGCATCTCACAGAGTTAGGAAAATGGACTTGAAATAAAAATAATGATACAAGTTTTTTTTTCTAAAGAAAAGCTTAAGGCCTCGCATTGTAGTTTGAATTTAGGCCCCGAATTGGGTTGAGTCGTCTCTAAACATGGGCAGAGCCAACATGTTATCTATCGGTTCGGTGCAACCAGTAGCTTTGGTTCAAACCTTGTATTTGTCTTATAAAATTCATTGCATATGCAAAAATTATTAATTTAGAACCCAATAACTTAAAAGGATTAGAATCCCGAATGCATAAGCTTCAAACCATCGCTCCGCCTCTGTTAAAGAACCTCGATTTGCACTATTTACTACTCCCTCTGTTTCAATTTATATGACATACTTTTCTTATTAGTCGGTAAAAAAATGATATATTTTTATATTTGAAAATAATTCAAATTTAAACTTTTTATTTACTCATTTTACCCTTAATGAGAAAATTTTATAGCCATATAAATATTGTGGTCTCACAAATATTTTTCCTCTTAAACTTTTAGAACCACAAATTTATTTTTTTAATCCGCTTCAAGTCAAACTATCTCATCTCAATTGTAACGGAAAGAGTATATAGGGGCATTTCTCTTTCTCATCGTTTGAACTTTTGTATTCAGATGTTTTTCTGGTGAACTAGATAATTATATAATATAGTAAAATGTTTACATCATTGTTTGAGAGCTACAACTCCCAATAATTGTATTAACATTGTCTTGCATTACAATGGGATCCCCCTCTGGATTTACGTTCAAAAACAGTTCCTTAAATGTCTGCCCACAGGGCCTTGTTTGCAAACACCTGAGGACCTGTCATAATTTCTATCTTATCAAATAACTTCATTTCTACTCCTTCCTTTGCGTGGAGGTCCGCCACCTGATTAAGCTCTCTGAAATTATGTCCTAGTACTGGGTTCCCCAGTTGCTCCATCAATGACCTGCATTCAAAGATAATAGAGTTAAAGTGCAGGTTTCCCTTATTTATCATCCTTAAAATTCAGAATCAATGCATATTTGTAGAGGTGTGAGTTTGTGCTCAAAGGCTATTTTGAGTCTCTGCCATAGATCTTGAAGTTCAGCCTCTAAGCTTGTGGTATGTGGTAAGCCTCTCATGTATCCTAGTATCCAGTCACCCCTGCTATTCCTATTGACACCCCAGCCCCTCCTACTCTTGATTTTGGCAAGCAAACCCATTAACGTTGAGCTTATAGGATCCAGGAGGTGGTGGCTCCCATTTGATGTGGATTGCAGTTGTTTCACCTTTATCCCTGGTTGGACATCCACATGATAGTATTTAGTGGCTTTGGCAATGATTTTTTTAACAGGGGCAAAGTTCTTATTATTTTCAAAAAGATTGTTGTTTCTAGTGAGCCATAGGCTCCAGAAACAGAAAGGAAGAATGGATTTCCAGCTGATAGCATTGTTAAACTGCATGTTCTTGACCTTTTGCCATGTATCCTCCCAGTGGACCATTGAAAACACAAGGTGTGGATGAGAGGTCTTGTTAGTACACTTTAGGGATAGGGACTACCAGAATGTTCTGGCATTTGTACATTCAAAGAAGATATGATTTATGTCTTCCACTCCAGAGAAGCACAAGTGATATATTGGGCTTATATTTAAGCCTATGTTGTTTAGGTGCTTGGTAGTGGGAAGTCTGTTATGTTGCATCATCCAAGTGGAGATTTTTATCTTATAGGGACCTTTAGATTTCAAATCCAGCCAAAGTAATCATCAGGACTGGTACTGGGGTTTAGCTCAGAGCTAATCAGGTTGTAGGCAGATATGGAGCTGAAAGCCCATTTTCATTGAGGTTCCAAATAAGTTTATCCTCAGAGTTGCTAGAAATATGGATTAAGGTGGATTGAATAACACACTTAATGTCCCTGGGGATGGGGTAGTGAATAACATCGAGGTTCCATTCCCCATTGCTGAGGATGGAGTCGATCTTAATGGTCAAGTCAGGTTATGCCAAGGCCCCTGGAGGATTGTGTTGAGGGGCTGCATATTAGGGATCCTTCCTGAATACATTGCCAAGTCCTAGTTTAGGTTTAGATCTAGGATGGTTACCACTACAGTATTTCCCAATCAGTACCCTAGCCCACATAGTGTCAGTGTTCTTGTATAGTCTCCAAGCTAGACTGGTTAGGCTAGCTTTGTTTTTCATGTGGGCTTGTTGAAGGCCCAGACCCCCTGTTCTTAGGCTAAGTGATAGTATCCAATTTGATCATGTGCAGTTGTTCCCCATATAAAGTTTCTTTGGATTTTATCTATCTAGTTGGTGATGTGAGAGGGTAACTTTATATAGTTCATCACATGGCTGGGAATGCTCCCCAGACTAGATTTGGCCAAAGTTGTACGGCCAACATGTTTAACATTTTAGTTTTCTAGCCTACCGACCTAGTATTCATACTATCAATGATGAATTGAAAATCTCTGTTGGTAGGCCTTTTATGGAAGATGGGGAAACTTAGGTACTTACCAAAATCTTTGCTTTTCCTAATTCCTTGCATTGAGCTGCAGCTAACAGCCCAATCTTATTTGTAATTGGTTGAGAAGATGACCTTGGATTTCTGGAAGTTAACCTTTTGGCTTGATGCACTGTTAAACTCATCTAAGGTAGCCAGGATATCATCACAACTCTTTTTATTGGCTCTACCAAAGAGTGTGAGATCATCAACAAAGAAAAGGTGAGAGATTTTTTGGGTCATTCCTACTGATGGTGATTGGAAACCAGTCTTTTCTCAGGACTGCCTGGTCAATGTTCCTTGAGAGCCTCTCCATGCAAATAATGAATAGGTATGGGGATATGAGGTCTCCCTGGATGATTCCTCTTGTAGGATTGAAAGGCTTAGTTTGGCTCCCATTGACTAGGGTGGATATGGAGCTAGTGGATATACATGATAGGATCAAATTTGTCAATATTGGTGGGAACTTGAAGAACATTAGGGAGTCCTTGATGAAAGACCACTGATGTCTGTCAAAGGATTTCTCTAAGCCTATCTTGAGGATCATGTTAGCATTCTTTCCTTTCATTTTTTGGAAATGAGTGATGTACTCCTGAACAATTATGGTATTATCAGCAGCTCTTCTGTTAGATAGGAAACTGTCCTGAGATGGCCCAATAATGGTCTGGAGTAAGGACTTTATCCTATTCACTATGATTTTAGTGACAAGCTTATATAGAGGTTGACAACCCAATAGGCAGCCATTCTTGTCTCAAGGAGAACAAGGACATCAGGGTAAATTATGTATTTTACGATTACCCATAATAATGACAACATTTGAAAAAGTATCGAAAAATAATTTGGAGAATGAGTAGTTAATGATAAGGGTAAAACAAGAAATTTTTTTGCCTTTATCTTGATTTGCTAAGCTGGACAAGTAAAAGTAAAAATGTATTTCTAATATAGTGGACAAGTAAAAGTAAACGATGAAGTATATGATAATTAAGTATCCAAAGTGGAGGAATATGTATGATCAAGCACACCCATTTATTCATTTTTGGAAGGGACAATTAACTAAGATTCTTCATTGTAACGTACTCATTCTGTTCACTTTTACTTGGCACGTTTTGACTTTTGACGCCCCTTAAGAAATAATAAATGAAGTGCATAATTTATCATGATACCCATAATAATGGATGCATATTTTATTGGATTTGAGAAAATGATTTGAAATGAGTAATAAATACTGTGGATACAACAGGAAAAAAAAGTTATCTTCTCTTTGTATGCGTAAAGTGACAAGTAAAATTGAAAATTTATTTTTAGTATATCTGCCAAGTAAAAGTGAACGGATAAAGGACAAAATATAATCCACACATACATAAGAAACAAAGAACATGAACGCTAGGCCTAGGCTGCAGCAGCCTCAACGTGCATCTCAGCTTTAATGGCAGCAGCCAACTGGTCGTAGGCTTCTCCCCATGCTTCTTTCATCTCTTCGCTCCATTTCTCTCCCATTGCTTCTTTCACTGTTCTCAATAATGCTTCTTTTACTACCTACATTAATACACAAACGCAGTCATATATATAAATGTTTTTTTAATTATATAGAAGTTAAAAATTCTTTGTTTTTTTTATTTATTATGGGGAAATAAAAAATTACCTCAAAGTGGGGGTCAATAACTCCCTTTTGGAGATGGACGGATCCCAAGTACTTGAGCGTAGTCTCACCAACCACCACTTCACCCTTCTCCCGCAGTTGAACGGCCGATTCACATGTCTATAAATATTCAACCATTATATTAGTCTTTTCTCTTTTCTTTTCTTTTCTTTTTTGGATTATTATATATAATTGTTTGATTTTAGTGAAAATACTTTACTTTCCTAATTATTGAATATTCCCTAAGTTTTATTTTTATATAACGATGTTTTATTGGCAGTGGCGGATCTAGAATTTTAAAGTGATGGGTGCTCGCCGATAAAAAATTCGAAAGAAGAGGAAAAAAAGTTTAGTTATGGGTGTTCACTCTATATTTATCTAATTATTTTTATAATTGCCTATGCAAATTTATTAAATTTGGTTAAAAGCAATGGGTGCTCAAGTGCCCATAAGTATCCATGTACATCCGCCACTGTTTATTGGACACGAAGTTTAAGAGGAAAAATTAATTTTTAGCACATACCAAAACTATCCTTAGTCAGAATATGTCATGGTACTTATATGATCATAAAATAAAGATAGAAAGATAATGATTCTTTGGATTGGAGTTCATATAAAATGAAATAAAAAGTAGTGGAGTAACCAATAAACTTTTCAAGAAACTTCCATGAAAAGAAAAAAAATATAAAATAGTAAGACGGAAAATGCAAGCAGAAACTTCCAAGCTAATGCGTATAACCAGACGAAGTGAGCATGTGCATGCCACGGTCCTTATCCTTCGTTGGGAAATATGAGGTACGTAGAGATTGTGATAATTTCAATATATGTTACCGCGAACTTTTTAAAATACACTTGATAATATTTTTCGAAATGTCCAATTAAGCACCATAAGACAATATTATTGAATATGTTGCATCAAATTAATTCTAAGAACATATCCAAAAAAATGACGAATGGAGATCCTTGCTTAAAAGGAAGATAAAATGGAAAAAAATGTTTATATATATAACTACTAACCATCTTGAAAACTTTAACAGCATGGGCTTTAAGTTTAGGATTGTTCTGAGGAATTTCGTCCGAATCCTTCAAGAATGAGAACATGTTCTTTGCTGCTGGTGCTATCTCCAAGATCCTGTCAAATCGGCCACATTAAAATTACCTTCCCTTTTATATCAAATGGACAAATATATTGAAGCCCAAATAGGGAAAAAATATATTGTATGCATCACACTTTTACGCGCAGTAGCAAATCCAGACTAGATAAAAGTGTGTGTATATATATATATATATAAGTGGTACTCACAAGGAGAAGAAACGAAGACTGAGTTGAGGAATATTTTGCTTCATGTTTTCCCAAGAATCCTTCACCATAGCTTCTTGTTTCTCTGTGAACCCCATCTCCCCTTTCTCTCTCTATCTCACTTATTTTTTTGCTGAATTTGTGTTGTATAGAGGACTGTTTGAGCCTTTTTGAGTGATAAGGAGGAAGGTACCACCCATCTTAAAGAAGGAAAAAACAAAAAGAAAAAGAGAACCACTACGTCACACTTTTAATTGTTAGATCTATTCTCTGAACATCTGTTTAAGATAGATAAATGTATAATTTAATGAATAAAAAAACAGCAGTAGCATACACCATAGAAAGTTGAATCAATAATAATACTAATATTCAGACTCCCCGTTGAAAATTTTGATGGTAGGACTTTGAGATTCGTTACCGATTATAAGTACTAATATATTTGCTACTCTTGGCTCTTCGGTATTGTTTAAGGACTTAACTATTCAACTTTCACTATGATTGCATTATAGTCAAGTTGTGACACATAATTTCAAAAATAATACTCTCTCCGTTTTAATTTATGTTGACTGGATACAGAGTATAAAAAAAGAGAGAAAACTTTTAAACTTACAGTGTAAAATAAGACATATATATTTTGTGTGGCTATAGATCATTGCATAAAGATAAATTATTTTTAAATAAGGAAATGAGCCATTCTTTTTGGCACCAATTAAAAAGAAGTTATGTTCACATAAATTGGACGGAAGGAGTAATTGTTAGAGATAGTATTTACAAAGTACATGGTTTTCATGTCGTACACATGTATTCGGATTTTCTATCAACTTATGAATGATTGCTCAACTTATGAAATAATCTATCAACGTTACTTTTGCTTTTTATTTTTTTTGGAATAATAACGAGCCTAACTATTACTTTTTTGGCTCAAAAAAAAAAAAAAAAACTCATTTGACATGTAATGTCATATTAAAAACTTATGTTTTAATGATAAAATTCATAGAACCCATATCTCTTAGAAAACTATACCTAATTTAGCCTTTCCAAGCAAAATTGCTACTAATATTAGCCAGTTACTCATAAAATACTATGAATATTAGTCCATTGACTATTTGTATGCTATAGACAATAAAATTGCGTCAAGAAAATAATTGACACCAAAAAATATTGCAACAATTGTAATATTTCATTTCAAACGATATCAGTGTTATAATTTCTATGAATCCTCTAGTTCTTCTTTTCTAAGATAAATTCAAGGGCCTTTGAGTTTGATCTTGAATTTATGCGTGTCTTCACGAATGATGACCTTGAATTCAACTAGCACGAACTTTGATTTGAACTCGTCCTCCTTGAACCTTCATTTGTTCTTCGTTCTTGAGCTTGAAGTTGATTTCTTGGACTTGATCTTGATTGCTTGAAACTCGAAGCTTGTAGAAGAATTTACGCCGTTTGATCCACGAGCTCTCTCTTACTTGTTATAATTTCTGGTGCCCTTTATTTGAGTTATGAAGATCCCTATTTATATTTGTGGAAGAGAAGAGTTGTGATGAGAACAAACTCATTTTGACCAATCAGATTGAAGCGTGACAAGGTTGCATTTGATTGGCCAGAACATGTCACTTGCACATGTGGCATGATTTCATTGGCCTTTTAATTTGACTTGGCATGCGTTGTCATTTTGACATGTGACATGATCCTATTAACTCTTCTGTTTGACTCGGCATACCACGTCATTTGACACGTGGCACTAAACTGGGCCTCTAGGAAAATATAGTTTTTTTGGGCTTAATGAAATGGGCTCATCATTTATAGCCCTACTTGCATGGGCTGGCCCAATATATTTGGATCTATTTATTGCAACTCATTTATTGTACTTAGCTAAAATCTAATTATATTAACCTATAATACTTATTTGGATTATTATAATTTAAAATATATTCCAAATAACTTTATGGATTTAAATCCAATAAAACTTAGATGCCTACAAATGCCACCTACTTTAGACTTATTTGGGGTTTAGACTTAATAATCCTCAAGACTAGACTTGAAATACTAGTTTAACTTGTCTCAGATCAATTTAGAAATTTGAGAAAAGGTATTCTTATAGGAATTTATTTTTACGAAATATAGAAGAAATGTCTCCACGTTCTTGGTATGTCAGACGTGTCTTTGAATTACTAAGATCAATTCTTTCTTTTTTCTTAAGAAAAGGAATATATATATATATATATATATATATATATATATATATATATATATATATATATATATATATATATATATATATATATATAAAAGTATTCTTTAGACTAAAGGTATTAATTGGATCGGGCCGGGCCGGGCCGGGCCTGCCAACTAATAACCTGGTTCGACCCGGTACAACCTGGGTCGGTCCTGTCCAGTAAGGGGTGGGACAGATTGGCTAAGGTAGGGGGTTGTTCCGGAAGGGGTCGGGCTCTTTTTGGCAACTGGTGCCCCAAAATCCGGCTAGCCTGGTAATCCTTTAATGGGTTTTAACCGGGTTCCAACCCGATCCAGCCCGACAGCCGTTATGAATTTTTTTTAAATAAAAAAACTGACCGGCTAACGGTCAAAATCTGAGATGATTGGTGGGCAACGACTGTTTTTGCAAGAAAAGACCATTTCGGCCTACCCTTTAATAAAATAGCCCCTACCCCTAAAAATTAATAAATTATATTTTTAGCCTTTTAAAAACTAAAAATTGCCCCCCTCTTCTTCACTTTTCCTCACAACTTGGTCTCTTCTTCTATTCTAATTCTCTCTCAATTCCCTCTTTATTATTGAATTGCTTATTGCTCTCAAAGTCTCAATTAATTATTATTTTAAATTTTATCAATTATTTACAGTAGCCACCACAAAATTATAATTATCAAATGAAGTGTGGTATCATCAAATATCAATAGAAGTGTGTGATATCACATTTAGTGTGGCATCCGGACTCTCGGTACTCTCGTTCCATCTCTTTTTCTTCTTTGGTATTTATTTTGATTTTATTATTAGAATTATTAATTTAATTTGCATAATGGATATTTTAGAGTGGCCAAAAAAGCGTTTACTAGTAAGGTGGTAGTGATACTATTAAGAGTAAAAATACTAAAAATAATAAGAGGTGGTGGTGGTTCTTCTAGTAGTTTTTCACATATTTCTGAAAGTTCACCTGAAAATATAAATGTAGACTATGAGCATACAAGAAGATCACGGTATAGATGATATTAAGTTGCCTAATAATTATTAAACAACACCACCTACACCTGGTACTTCTAGTCAAAATACTGGGAATGGCGGTCGTGGTAACTGTAATATAGGTAGGCCTCTTCTCCCTATTAAGAAGAGTCGAATATTAAGAAGTAAATGTTGACAATTATTTGAAAAACTAGAAGAAGATAGAAATTATGTAAGATGTACTATTTGTCAGGAAGTTTATAAACACAAAACCGGATGTCACGATCCAATTCCCACTATAGACCGTGATGACGCTCAACGTTTTCGCTAGGCAAGCCAATGATGAACTATCCACGTAATTGTTCATTTTTGAATATTTTTTAAAGTAATTGATTTTATTTCATAAGAGAACGATTGATATGTGATCGTAGTAATGTAAAGTATAAATTAACAAAAGAGTAAAATAATGAATTTAATACTCAAAATCATATAATATCTACTAGAATATTTCTAAAACCCAGTTCCACAAGTGCATAAGCAAACTAGTAGAATGTACAAAACTCTCTAAGAATTACTGTCTGAAACAAAATAGACAGAAATGATAAAACATAACAAGAGAAGGCTCTGGGTGATGCAGAACGGAGCATGTGAAAAGCAGCTCACGACTAAGCCTTCTAATAATGCGAATGCACGCCCAGACAAACTTGTAATGACCCGATCGGTTGTTTTGAATATTTGCACTCCGTTCGGCTATTTGAAGTATTGATCAGCATCGTATGATGTATTATGACTTGTGTGAATCGTCGGTTTTGATTTTCAGTTTATTCGGAATAGATTTGGAAGAATGAATTTCATCATTGAAGCTCTAGAGTTGGAAGAGTTGACAGAGTTTGATTTTTTAGTATTTGACCCCGGAATGGAGTTTTGATGGTTCCAGTAGGTCCGAATGGTGATTTTGAACTAGGGCGTATGCCCGTATTTGCATTTGGATATTTCTTGAAAGTTTCGGCGCTAATTGGCAAAAGTTGGAAATTTGAAGGTTTGAAAAGTTCGTAAGCTTGACCGAAAGTTGACTTTGAGGATATCGAATTTGGATTATGATTCCGGGAATTGGAATAACTTTGTTACGTCATTTGGGACTTGTGTGCAAAATTTGAGTTCATTCCGTGTTGATTTGATATGTTTCAGCGCGGGTTTTGGAAATTGAAAGTTCATTAAGTTTGATTTGAGGTGCGATTCGTCGTTTCAAAGTTGTTATGTGTGATTTGAGGCATCTATTAGGTCTGTGATATGTTATGGGACTTATTGGTATGTTCGGACGGGATCCCGAGGATCTCGGGTGAGTTTCGGATAGGTTTGGGTTGCGTTGCGCTCGTTTTAATGTTTTGATGTCGTTTCTTCAAGCATAAATGGTACCACATTAAGCAAATGAGCTCCAATTTCTATTTTGATTAAAGCATTAGATTCGTATCGTAATTGTGGAACCATAGCAACTGGAATCATCAAGTTTCGACATCATATTAGGAATTTATAGTCATTTTACTAAGAATTGGGTTGCAAGATTTTTTTCAGATTAATTACAAAATTGCCACTGACTTCGTATTTAAAAATCTGTACTATTTTCAAATATTGAAACCAACATATCTCCTTCATTATAAGGTCAAATGGAGTGATTCAAAAGCCTAACTTAACCGAAATTTTACAAGAAATCTATTGGAGGTATCAAAAGCGAGTTTCGAGATCTTTTGGCACATAAAATGAGGTAGAACGGCTAGGCAAAAATATTTAATATCGAGGGTCTGTTCATTTCGTCATATTTTGAGTTGGGGAGCTCGGATTTGGGCAACATTACAGGCGATTTTCACCATATGGATTGGGGTATGTATTCTCTACTCGGTTTTGGTTATATTTGTGAATCTATTTTTATTTTTGTAATTGATTGTGAATTTTAAAGGAAAAATTGGCGGGGGGGGGGGGTGTTTGTCCAATATTTCATAGAACATTGATTCGGAGTCGAATTTGGGTGAAACTAGTATGGTTGGACTCATAATTGAATGGGTTATCAGATTTTGCGAGTATTGTTGTGTCCTGAGGTGCGGGCCCGGGTTTGACGTTTTGGTTCACTTTTGGGTTTTGATTAAAGA